GGTAAAAGGGGGAACAGAAAAAAGAAAATATTATATAATTTTATAATATTCACAGCATATTTTACACCTGCTGAGGTAATGTTTGAAGGCGCATGAAGACGGTTTTCGATCTTTTCATCCCAAAAAAGATGGGACGGATCGACGATGAACATGGAAATAGAAAAATGGAACAACAATTCAATGCACATCATGGTTCGGTGAAACGACAGTTCCGGGTAGGTGATCATGTTTGTTGGAAAACCTACCGCAAGCCACAGGAAAGCTGCAGACCAAGAGAAGTACTAAAATAACTGGGAAAGGTGCTCTATGAAGTTGGCTGGCAAAACGGAATGGTCATACGACATGCGAATCAGTTAAGAAAACGTTTCGCTGGAACCGGTGGGAACATACTGGAAAACCTGCCAGAAGGCCTGTCGGAATCGGTCATTTTGGACGAATCACGAAGGCCAGAACAAGCGATGGATAGATCAAATGACGAAACCAAATTGGACGAGGCTAGTGTCAGTGGACGATATAAAAAGGCAAGACGTGATGGCAGTGCAGTCCGGCAGTCGACACGAGTGCGAGTCCCAACAAGAATACTCTCCATCGATCCACATGCCAAGACCTACACCTAAGTATTGAAAAGGGGGAGGTGTTAGGTAGTGCATATATCTGCATGAAGTTATATCTATAGGGAGGCACACGCCAAGCCTCCGACTCTGGGTGGATACTTGTGCTCTATTAATAAGGAATGTTTTACTGTTATTGTTTTATTGTTAATAAAGTAGGCCGTTCTACGCGTCTCTCTCATCAGCGTCCCGGTCATTACTGGCTCGCATGCCGTGCAATTTTTCGTCACACAACAATTTCTATATTCTCAATTTCCTTTTCCACTTCTTTCTTTTATCGCTTTTCTTCCCTTCTTCATTTTTCTACCTCATCACTTTCTCTTTATCCTTTAAATCTTTAATAAACCTATTAAATTCAGCCCCCACTCGTACATGGTTCTTACGTACGACCTCATGAAATTTTTTGGCGCGAAAATCCCTAACTTAGGCACCAGGAAAGCTGGGAGGCCGAAATTTGTAAAGAATGTTCCCAGCATAAGTATAACATAAACCTATCAAATTCAGCCCGCACGCCTGCACAGTTCTTATGTATGGCCTCGAGAAACTTTTTTGGCGGGAAAATGGCTAACTCGGGAACCAGGGAAGTTAGGAGGCTGAAATTTTAAAGGGATGCTCACAGCCTACATACAACTTAAGAATTTCACTCCCAACTCCCAGGTCATGTGCGGCCCTATGAAAGTTTTGGCAGGAAAATTGCTAGCTCTGGAACCAAGAAATCTGGGAAACTAAGATTTTAGGAGAATATTCCTCGTCCAAATACAACTTAAAGTTTCACGTTGAGTCTCCATCTACACATGGTTCTCGTGCACACAAATTTTTGGCGGGAAATTTACTTATTAAACAGCTGGGTCATTTTCAAAAAACAACCGCTGAACAAAAATTGTTCATTTATTTTTATGCAAAATTTACGATGATTTACAGTATTGAGCGCACAAGGTAGATGTGAAGAAACAATCTTCATGCAGTTAACCTAATTAGCTCATGTTTCGTGCAAAAACGCATGTGATCGAACCGGCTCGCTGGTGCGTCCTAGCCTAGGTTTTTAGCCATACGACCAGCCCAACTCATTCTTTAATGTACTGAATACTCTAGTAATACTGAAGTATCAAAAAATCTACAAAAAAAGCGAATTACATTTGAAAAGCCAGAGTAGCGCGAAGATGTACAGCGAAAGCATAGCAATTACAGTTGCCCACGGCATAATATAATTGGAACTTCCAGCGCATTCCGCTGCGCCACGGTCAGCAGTAGCAGCTACACCAGCAGTGACATTGTTCATCGTCGAAATATCAGTTGGTGAGGGTCTGCACACACGCACTCACTCACACGCTGCATCACAAGAACACTGTCAGATACACTGAAAACTTGTTTTTGCAGCGATCACAACGAATTTTATCACGAAGTGTCTAATTCTGCATCGATACTGATGTGTGTTTGAGGAAATTCAGCGAAAGTTTTGAACATTTTAACAAAACTTAGCAAAACATTTCGCTGAAATTTAAGCTTTCCAAATTTTCTGGTGCTTGAGCTAGAAACTTTTCTGCCAAAGACTTTCACGAGGCCGTACGTGACAACCACGCAAGACCGGGTGCTGAGTTTAATAAATTTAAGCTAAACGTGTGTTGGAAGCATTCTCTAAAAATTTCAGCCTCCCAGCTCTCCTGGTTCCCGAATTAGCCATTTTCGCACCGAAAATTTTCACGAACCTGCACGTGAGTACCATACACATTTAGTGACTGAGTTCGATAATTTTAAGGTGTGCTAGGAAAATTCCCTGAAAATTCCAGCTCCCCAACTTTCTTGGTTTCCGAGTTAGCAATTTTCGCGCCAGGAACCCTTACGTGGGAATCAAGCACAACTGGCGGCTGAATTTGAAATCTTTCAGTTCCATGTAGACGGGGGACAAAACCTCGAAATTTCAGCTTTCTAGCTTTTCTGATTCCTGAGTTGGCGATTTTCCTGCCAAAACTTCCACTCCTTCGTACGCAGGACCCAAAGTTGCGTAAAGGTGGGTACCGTAGTCCTGGGGTGGCACTTAGCTGGGAAACCCACCGGCAAAATTTTGGCGCCGGAACTTGCTTGGCTGCCAAGTTGAAATATCCGGACAGACGCACACACACAAATACACACAAATACACACACACGGGGTCATCACAGCATGCGTTTTTGCATTTGCAAAAGTAAAAACGCATAACGAGAGGATAACACACGGGGTAGGAACATACACCCCAGCCTCTCAGTTTTCCTACTTGCTGAGATAAAACTGGGTGACAAAGTTCACCCGCTTCTTAACACAGACACATACACACAGACGACCTCTCTTATGCGTTTGTGCTCGCTATAGCGCCAAAACACATATTGTGACAAGCCCGGTGTGGGTGTGTATGTGTGTGCATCTGTCCAAGTATTTCAACTCGGCAACTAAGCAAGCTTCCGCGCTGAAATTTTGCCTGTGTGTTCCCCAAAAAAGTATCACCCCAGGACCGCGGTACCAACCTCCGCACATGTCTGGGCCCCACGTAAGCGCATGGAAGTTTTGGCGGGAAAATTGCCAACTCGGGAACCAGAAAAGCTAGAAAGCTAAAATTTTGCGATTATGTTCCTCTTCTGCATGAAACTCAATGGTGGGAGGCTGAAATTTTAAGGGTATGTTCCCAGCCTGTGTGTAAGTCAAAGTTTACAAATTCAGTCCCGAGATATGTATAATTCTCACATGCGTTTCTGCGAAAATTTTTGGCGCGAGAAAATTGCAAATTCGATGATCAAGAAAGAATGAAAGCTGAAATTTTGAGGGGATACTGCACGTCCTGCCGGCCATGTTATATGGGTTTGAAACGTGAAAGTCCACGCTTGCTGAAGAACGGATATTAGCAGTCTCTTAAAGAGCAGTGGAGCGGCGGATAATTGGCGCCAACAGGCTACAGCACATTCCAAATGAAGTGCTATAGCCAGATCTGGCATGAAAGATATTACTGAAGCAATGTACGTCAAAAAAAGAGATGAGCTGGTCATGGTTATGTGGTACGGATGTCAGACAATAGATGGAGAAGCAGATAATGGAATGATATCCGCGCACAGTCAAGCGAATGCTGGGGAGACCACCAGTGAGTTGAAGAGACTCCATGGTATGCCTGCACAGTATCGCGCCGACTCGGACAGCGCAATAGTGAATCGAATGGAAAAGTTATCAGCTGCATCGACGGTGTGACAACGGACGTCGATGACGTACAGCTGCTCAAGTATTCAAGCAAGTATTCTCTGATCAAGTACCATGTAGTTGCACAATTAATTTTTTAAACTTCGAGGGCCAATATGCGATAAATTCTAGCTACTGAGACTTAAAGCGATCTTACAACAGCGCGAAATACCGCAAAAACGCATGGTCGCACGGGCCCGCCTGGTGCGCGTGCCAATGATTTTTATGCGTTTTTGCATATATGCAGATTGCAAAAACCCATATTGGCAAGAGGCTGTCTGTGTTTCCGCACTTTTTGTCACCCACTTTCAACTCGAGAATCAGGAATGCTAAAAGGCTGAAACTTTGAGAGTATGTGCCCACACCATGCGCGACCCTCCCGCTTTAATTTCATCTCACGCAGATGCCTGGGCGCCGCGTACAGACGCTTTTTTAGCGGGAAAGCAATCTTGGGAACCAGACAAGATAGGGGGCTAAAACTTTGCAGGAATATTCCCTTTGCATATATGAGCTAAAGACTTCAAATTCAGCTCCAGATATGCTTGGTGCTCACATGAGGTCGCATGAAAGATTTGGCAGGAAAATTACTAACTCGGAAACCAGAAAAGCAAAAACACTGAAACTGTGGAGGAATATTTCCTGTCCAAGTTAAACTTAAATATTTCAAATTTAGCCTTCAGATATGCGTGGTTCTCACGTACGAGCACGTGGAAGATTTGACGGTGAAATTGCTAACTCCGTAACTAGAAAAGCTGAAAGGCTGGAATTTCAGAGTGATGTTCCCTGTTCACGTGTGATTTAAAGATTTCAAATTCTGCTCCCCAAGCAACCGGAGTACTCACGGGCATGTAAATATTTAGGCAGCAAAACTACTAACTCGGAAACCAGAAAAGCTAGGAAACTGAAATTTTTGGGGAATATTCTTTGTCCAAATACAACTTGACTGTTCCAAATTCAGCCTTCAATCATGCGCAGTTTTCATATTTGGGCACTTAAAATTTTTGGCGGAAAAACTGCTCCCTGAACAGCTAGGTTACTTTTAAATAACGATCGTTAAATAAAAATTGTTCATTTACTTTATGCAAAATTTATGGTGATTTGTTCTGGTAAGCACAAAAAGTAGGTGTAAAGCAACAGCCATTCATGCAGTTAATGACTTGAGTACTGCAAGTTGATTATAAAAACCCATGATCGCACCGACGAGCCTGGTGCGTTTCAATCTGGGTTTTAAATCTAACAAGCGAAACAGCCTCTGAAGACTGCGATTTTATAGGGGAAAGGCATCGAGATGTGCGATAGGGACGACTGCCCTTGCGGGAGGTCTTCAGTAAAAGAAAGGCTAGTGCTCTTTCACAATGCTCTTCTGACTTCTTACAAATTTGCATTTTTTCAGCGAACCAGCATTCACCGGGAGAACGACCGGGCTTTATTCCAAAAGCTGATAATCATGCATGTTGAGGCTCTGCGGCCCCATAACGCAACAATTCTTTCCCTGCACACGAGAAAAGGCTAAAACACAGCCAGTATGAGTCTAAGTGTTAAACTACAGCTCGAGAGCCATTCCTGCTGATGTCGATTTAAAAATTCAGCGCAAAAACGTATGTTTGCACCGGCAAGCCTAATGCGTTGCAGCCTGGTTTTCTCTTTTTTTTTGCACAATGTGATTACAAAAGAATGTAAAATGTTAAAACATTATACAGCTCAATATTTCACTTTCAATCGGAACTCGAAGTAAATTTGCTGCGAACCAGACAGAAATTTAAAATTTCTGCATTGTTTCGAATTTTAAGCAAACATTTAGTTTGCTTCTCATCAGTATTGCCAAATTTACTTTGTTTTTTTAGTGTATAAAAAGCAGTACATCTATTCGAGCATCTTAAATATATACAAATATGTCAAGCATCGCAGACAAGTGAATCGATGAGCAAATGCTGCACTGCACTGCAGTATTACACACGTTTTTTGTTACGCAGAGGTGCTTCGGAGCTAATTTAGGTTTGTGTTTATGTTCACAGCGAGGCTTCAAAATTCGGCTTTCTAATTTCCAAAATTTCAGAATAAGGAGCAGTATTTCTTCATACGGCTCTAGAGGCTCCAAAATCAGCTCTACCTGCTATCCTCATGTTAGAAGCTCAGCATTGAGAAATCATAGTAGTTTTGATATTCTTCGTACTTTTGGCCCCCGCATTCTTTGTATTTTCGCCAATTAATGGTTACCAGAAATTAAAGCAGTTTGAGGAGCGCTGTAACTACCACTATCTCCTGATCAACTAAACAATCGTAGCAGCAGGAGTACCCGCATCCGAGAAGAATGCAGCATTGATGGGACTTTCTCGGAAACTGCCAAATTTTGGAGAACGAGAAAATGACCGTCGCAACTGGCTGCCCCGACGAATGACCTGCGCCCGAAGGCTATCGACCCGCTGTAAAGGCTTGCGCAACCGCTCTGGTTGATCGGCTCGCATATTGCCACAACAGCGAAATGCACAGACACAACCTGGAAGACCACAAAAACGGGTTAGAAGCTACGCTGGAGACACAATCCATGATGTCAAACTCTCAGGGATATGCTCTTTTCTGTCTTCAAAACGTAAATACGCAAAGATATACTCAACTTTGTCAAAATAAATGCAAAAAAAGTCCAGGCTAGAACACACCAGGCGAGTCGGTGCGATCATGCGCTTTTTCATCAAACTTTGAGGTACCCCATCAAATTTCCCTGCCCCTGCCCTACCCCTCCACCCGCTGTTTCCGCCCCCCTTTCGCCCCCGCCTTGGACATACAACTTTTCGAAGGGGTGATATTGGGCTGCAATATATAGTACAGTTGCAAAGCGGTACTCTGTGAGTACGATAAGATGCGGTATACTGTGGTACACAATCCCCCGCTGAGCGGTCAGACTCTGCTCACTTCTGTGTTTTTCTGATTCGTAAGCGGCTCTGGTTGCCCACCGTGTTCGGAGGGGGGTGGAGGAGGGCAGAGGAGTGCCTTCTGCGATTATTCTGAGAGGGGTATTCCGTAGCGTTTTGTGCAGGATAGGAACAGCGGTGTCCCCCTTAGAACAGTCATGGCACCCGCCTCCTAAGAAC